TAAATTGTATGCACTGTTGTGGTGATGCTCCATACTCATCTCAACTACTTAATCTTGGTCATATATGGTGCCAATTGATTAATATGGTATAATCGAATCGGAGAGTAAATCGACAGGGAATACTTTTCTTAATTAACCTGGTAATCAAAAGATGAAGACTCGGCGCTTCAATTTAACGAGGTGAAATAATCTCCATTCCAGAACTTGGCTAAACCAGCTCTCCCGAGTTCCAATAAAGAAAGTTCCATAATGAATTACCTCACTAATAACTTTTTTCAGATCCACTTAAAAGATTCATTTTCTTTTCACAATTTCATTTCAAAATGTTGAAATATAGTTTTCTTAACCGTTAGCAGCAACAATGATTGACAATGGTATAATTCGTTTCGAGGTTAATTCCTGTATAAACGAAGACTCAGATAGGGCCGATTCCGTCTAAAAAATACGCGTTTCATTCGGATATTATGTTAAATATGCGGACACACCAATTATGCACCAAACACTTTTATGATATTTTATGAACCTAATTTTCTATTTATCTTTCTCATTTACAATTGATGTAAAATTCAAACTTCAACTCACGTTGTGTGTTCCCATACTATTACGCAGATTGTAACCTTGTCAATAAGTTTTCACTTGGCGGAAATTGTTGCACATTTTCATCACATCCAGATATCTCGTAATATTTGTGCTAAAATGGTTCACATGAAACCACAAAAATAAATGCTTAATGAAGAGGGATAATGGTGCATATAAAAGCCTGAAACATTTATCCAGACTTGAAAATCAACTAGACTACTATATATTTTGATTACTAATAGTAGTTTTTGGGTACCTGCTCAGTATTAATTCTATGAAACTTTTTACGCAGGAAGTTTAATAAGGAAATTTTTATTTAATTATGGTAACTGTCTTGCGTAGTAAAAATATTCCACTAGTTTTTTTCGTTTTGCATACGAAGGCTGAACAGGTCACCTTTAATCAGTGCAAAATCTATGCTTACTTTACTGTCAAAACTAACGGTTGCGCCCGATCAGCCACTTTATCTAAGTAACCAATCAGCAAGCTCCCAGCGCCTCGAAATTTGTTCACTCAGTAACCTAGAGGTCAAATCCTAAGATTTCGCTTAACACAACTTGTCATTATGAAGTAAAATAATTAGGTTAATCAAAATTCAATATCAAACTTCAGATTATTTTGCATAATTTCGAACTGACTTTCCAACTCTGTGTGACTTAATCTATCATTTGCCTTTATTTTCTACCATTTAAAATTTTGCCTACAATAAAGAGGGAAAAATTTTATTAAAAACAAACTAACTAAGCTGCTTGAAACTCAACGGCCTTATGTCTATAAATCGTTTGAAACAGAGGAAGTCGCGGATGTTAAAAGGAACAGATTTACACTTCGAGTGGCGTCACTTTTCCTATATTCGCGGATGCAGAGGGATTAGTAAGCTTAAATAGTGGTGGGCATTTTCAAAATGCCAATATCAATTGGGAACGAAAATAAGGAGAAAGGCGAAGGTGACAAAGGGAAAAGTATCGAATGTAAATGTCAAAACCTTCTATCTTACTTGAATACAAACAAAACTTCCGTTTTCAAGTGCATTGTCACTGTCCCAGCATTTCCGTTCTAATCCGACAGTATTTGCATTGTCTTTCGAAGGGTACACTTTCAAATTTCCATTCCTTAGCAATGCAACTCTATAATACAGATAGTGGGGTGTGTGATAGACTTTCCCCCACGTGGTGCACCCTGGGCAACGTATATTCATACAGCAAAAAATCTATTATTGACTTCTGATTTCAAACTACCATGACCCAACGATATGTCATATTTGACCCCTTTCACAGTACTCATCTTACCTGTTCTCTGCCTTTGTGTCTATCTGACCGTCTCTTTTACATCTGTGTGTCATTATTCTGTCTATCTCTCGAAATTTTGTGACTTTACCTTTTCCTCCTCCTCTCTGTGAAGCCCGAAGTCAGCTAGATGACTAATGATGGCTATTATAAAGCCTGCCATTTGATGCACATGTTCTTATGAGAACGCGGTGGTTAAAAAAATGTTCTCTACTGTGAAGGCTAGACATTTCAAAGCATCAAAAAGTCGAATTCATTTTGGTTACAGCTGAACAGTATCTTTACTGTTTTTTTTCTTTTGAGTCCATTATTGCACGATTAGCATTAACGATTGCTCAAAATCTACTTGTATACATAATTGTCGCAATTGAATTTACCTTGATTTTAAATTGTTACCTTTTCGATAATATAATTTAAGCAAAGGCATCTCGACTTTTCCTTCTTTGATGGATTATGGCAAAACGTATTTTCTTGCTACTTACAATAAAGAATGTTGGGAGAAAATTTTGGGAAGTTGGAACTTATGAAGAACAGGCCGTTTTGCCCATTACCGGTGCACAGACAGTCCGAATCATTAAAACGCCAATGGCATTGTATTATTAATTAAAACTGAATTCTCGGTGTAAACGTTAAAGAGACCCGTTAATGGTCCAGACTTGTTTCTTCGTCTGTTCAATTTGTAATACAATTTGGGTTTATTCACAATTGTGTCCCCAGTTTTCCGCCTTCTACGTGCAGTGTCGGTACTACCTATCCCAAGAAAAATAGCAATTTCCACCCGCTATCCAACGCTTACTGCCTTTACTCTGCAGAATGTCTGGCTAACAGTTACGCCACCAGCCTCATTTCAACCTATTTTTCCATTTAAGTGGAAGTTGACGGAACAAATTCCGTGACTGCCTTTGAATTCCCATCACCCTGAGCAAGAAATAATTTTTGTCAAAACCTCCTAGTCTAATAATGGGTAATGGAGGTAGAATTGTGCAAAGCAGACAAGACTGTTTGTTTCAATGTCAAGTTAACGTCTATAATTCCTATTTAATGTGATTTGAAACAAGTTTTTGTCATTTGTGGTGAGGTAGGCTTATTAGAAATTCATCAATTAATAAAATTTACTAGGCTTTTTTGGGAGTGAACTTTCCAACTACTTTACTTAAATTTTACCTTGAAATATTTCACCCATATTTCCTAAAGTTTGAAAATTTATATTTTCATTTTCCTTGTAATTACTTCTAAAATTTCATTCTATGAATCAGCCCGCCATCACCATTCAGATCGTCGGCTGTGTCAATCAAGACGGCTCATTCGCCGAATCAGCGTGCCCGATCTAATCAAGTAACGACTGAAGCCTAGCCCCATTTATTTAACTCTAGCCCCAAAGTACTTAAACTCCCACCCCACTTGAACCCAGAAATTCTTCTGTGCCGTCTTCCACCTACTCACCATTTCTTCTGGCCTCCATCCTCATCAAACAGATTGCTGCTAATAAAAGCCCATCTAAAGCGACAGTCCCATTTTCTTTATTTCTTTGCAGTAGTGATGGTTGGTAGAACCCATGGCCTTAAGACTAGCTATCAAATACCTAGCCACTAATGTATCCACCTAAATGTCTTTTTGCCAATTCTATGTGTTGGTTTGGGCTATGGGAAAAATACAAATGAAGAGTGAAGACGTGATTAGCCATGTTGGCCAACAGGCTATTAGGCTCTGGAAACCCGGGTCGGGAGCCTATCAGTGAGTCAAAGAAATTTCAACCTCCGTTCATTATAAGGTAAACTGCACTGCTTGAGGAAGCTGATAGGTCATTATTGAAAATAAGTCCAAAATGCTCTGATTTTACATCAACTTTCACCTCTTGCCACACCCCCCCCCCTCCCCTCCTGCCCCACCCACAGCTTGTTTTCTGAGAATGTAACAGATAAGCAATAGCCGTTTTAGATAAGTACTGAGCGATAAGTGGGCAAATCAAGGATCAAGAAGTCAGTGTCATGAAAGGTACATATATAATCACAAATGCGTAAGAGGAAAAGAAATTAAACGTCATCACCGTCAGATAATCCTTCAATTTCATCCTCATCCAGTTTCATGGCTTTCCAAAACCGAACGGCCATCTAAAATGAAGAAATCAGAGAAGGCACTTGATACCATTCTTTGAAAAGCACATTAAAACCGTCACATTTAAGTAGACACCATTTTTTAAATTTGAGTACGTTTCGACTGAAAATTTTTCGGTTCTGGGATGGAGTTTACAGGAGTTACAACTAGCTGTCTAATACTGCCCTTAAGTTTTAATGACACTTGAAGTGGAGAGAGGGAAAGTGGTATTTCTTTGCAAAGAAATCCAAATTCAACAAATTCACCATTTGGCTGGATTAAGCCCCCATTCTCATAATCGGAAAGGCGAATAACAGCATCAATCTACCAAGTTGCACCTTGACCACTGGAACACACCAAGCGGACCAATAAATTCGACTGCTGAATGGCGAATTAAGAAAGCAATATTACGTACCTCTACACCGAATGGATCATGAGTAAAGTACAGCTTTATACTAAGGGTTGAACCGATTAGCAGGCTAGTTCTATAACGTAAGAATAAAGGGCTTTTTAATTGCCCAAATTCTCCTCCCCTCAGCCTTATAAAGGGCGCAAGGAAAAATGTGCATTCATTTGGGTATTTTAACCGCGCATTTCATTGACGCAATAATTTCCAATAGTAAAAGAACCCCAATACTAAATTCTAGAAGGATTAAAAAGGTGGATAGCAACAAATAGTTGAAATTATTTTAAATAGAGAACAAGCGAGATCGATCGGGATTGTTAATAAACTGACAATTGGAATTTCATTTGCCATTCCCGAACAGGCTAATCAATTTCTTTGACAATACGATGGACATTTTCAGGGCAATTGAACCAAAACTATCAGCTACCGTGGAATAAAAGACGACCACGTGTACTCTGTGAGCAAAAAATCGAAGCAAGTTAACGAAATGTGTGCCCAAAATTTCACAAATACGATAGTTTCTAACTTAAGGGTGTGCGATAGACTTACCTCCACGTGGTGCACCATGGACAACGTATACTCATACGCCAAAAATATCCATAAACCGGTAGTTGATTTCAAATTGCCATGAAACGACTGCATGTCATATTCGAACACTTCCACAGTACTCACCTTACCTTTTCTATACATTTGTCTGTCTGTCTCCTTAACATCTTTGAATCACTCTTCTGTTCCCCCGTCCCTCGACTTTTATGACTTTGATGATCCTCCCCTCTGTGAAGACCGAAGTCAACTAAAGGACTAATGATAACTTTGTGCATAGAATTGCCAACAATGAGCCAATAGAAGATCCGTGAAATTTGGATTTTTGAAAGTGGATCGATGAACTCTTCATCAAACGAATATGCGCTTACAGATCCCCTACCTTTATTCCTTATTTATCCTTACTTAATACGCTACCAATAATGAAAATTTTTTAATAAGGATTATCATTATCGAGAATTATAAAATAATTTGTTGTCATTTCTTAAAAAGAATTACCACCAATAGCCACATTGATTCCAATTACTCTTCCAGACCCAGAGAAAGACAGAATTATTGTAACTCGAAGAAACTATAACTGTTTGCATATGGAATTTATTTATTTATCTTATTTTCGGTAAACACCACAGCATATAAACAGGCCATTAATTGTGTTAGGACATAAATCCCACAGCATTTAAGAAAGATGGAAATAAGGACCTATTTCTAGCACGTTTGAGCCTTGCACTATTTTAAATTTAGGACAGAAAGTAAGCTCTTGAACATCCTTACTGTTTAGGTCTAACCCTTCTATGCGAAACAAGCATCCAAAACAAAGCCTTGTTGGTTGAATAAACACTTTCATTTACTCTCGGTGCTTTGACTTCGGAGGCTGAAATGGGGCTAATGAATTAGCAAATCTGGAATGATGGGTTTTAGACATCTTAGGATTCACTGGAGACAACCTAGAAGGCTGAAGGTTCAGCTAAATAAGCATTGCTTGGAAATATTACAACATAGAGAAGACAAAAACTGACAGAAAACAAAAAAACTCGTGTGCATTGCAAATAAGCAGCAAAGTTTAAGCTCCAATTTTCCTCATGCTACTATGCGCCCAAAACTAATTTCATTTGAAGAGTAATAAACGCGCACAGCCGCAGAGATTATCGACTAAGTGCAACTTGTTTCGATGTCAAGGCGTGCAGAGTCCAGGGATGGCTACAACCCTTGCCAAAAAAACAGAACAAGGCATTCCTCTCAAGTACTTCTTGGTGCTTGCAGCAAGTACCTAGAAAATGCATCCATCAAACTGGGGGGGTCGAATTGTATTCTTGTTCTACAACTTAAGTACTAGATATCAAATAAAAAAATGAGTGGCTCACAAGACACAAAACAAGCATTAGTGGACATAGTGTGAAGAAGCCTAATTAAACGAACAGATTGCTGTATATAAAATCAAAGCTTGGAAGATATGGGAATATTTTCAAGTAGGCCATCTTTACCTATTAGAAAGACATAATTAACACAGTCCACTAGATCAAGGCCCACCCAATATCAACAATAATGAGAATGCCAGCCCACGTATTTCGAGCTCAAATATTCCAACCTAGAGTTGAGGTACAAAGTCTGAATTTCATTGAAGTAGAGAAGAAGAGAAACGTCTGAAATCATGCCTCACATATTATAAGAGATGGTTCATAAAGAAGGGGAGTTTTCTGGGCCATGTTCCTTAACCCCAATTAAAGTGACGCTTAAACATTAACGAAGAAAGAGAACATCGCAAGCATAGTGAGTGCTACTTGGTTTTCACCAAAGCAAAGCTCGAAACAAATAAATCTTCATTCAGTTTGGAATATTTTCACCAAAACCAAAGCGAACAATAGAGCTGTATTCTCTGAATATGCTTTTTAGCCACCTCTTATTATTAAGTTTAAAACGGTCACACATTCCACCGTGAAATTGTCATTACAATTTGTGCACTCTTTCCTCAAACCCGAGATAATGCTAACAACCTTCATGTGTTCACATTGACGAATTTGGATTGTGGTCCCTTCAGCATAACTTCATTCACCTGGTTTAACACTTTGACACCCTTAGGACCGTATTGTACTCTTTCAAAATAATATCCATTGGTACTAGACTTGCAACAGAAAGCGCTATTGCCGTTTGAAACATGTTCAATACCTCTGTAACCTTCGCCTGATATCAACAAAACTCATTATTTCGGCGGCATCAGTTTGCTGTGAGACGCGTGAATGTGACTGGATGCATTTTCAAAAAAAAATAATTCGGGCTTTAGAGGGATAAAAAAAGACCAATGGAATTTTTTCATTCGTCCTTTCCACCCCATATTTCAATCCGATCGGTAAGAGCAATACCACTTCGGTAAAGCGAAATCATCCCAAAGCCTCATAAAGAATGCTTGAGCTTCCCTCCACAGAAAGTTGAATGGGTGAAATTGCAAACAAAGAATTTCCACTTAAAAGTAATATTCAAGTTGAACCTAATGTATGTAATAGGGGTAAAGGGCAGATAATGCAAGCGCATTAGAAAAATCGAGTCTACGCCTTAACTATTCACCTTTTCGTAAAGGTGGTAAACAACTCGTAATTTGCAAAAAAACTTGTTTGAACATACGATTCCCCTTTGATCTATCCGCATCGGCTAAAAATGATTTCATAGGACGACATCGATATCAAGCTAAAAAAATTTGGCGTTCTGAGAGCAAATTGCTTTCGTAAATAGAGGAAAAGTGAATGTATTTCAATATTTAGAAGTAAGTGATGTGTGGAAATTGATATTCAGACTGACCAGGCAGGGAAGCTGAACGAATGGGAAATGTCAGTTTTAAGTCTATAAATAGAATGCTTTGTCTTATAAAGGTTAGAAGTTAAGCCAGATTTGCTAACCGAACACTAGGTCAATACCTTAAAACTAAGCAATTTCTCTATCAATGAAGAATATAAAGACCTAGGACATATTGAATAAAATGTAGCCCTCGCATAGCAAACAGTGGTATTTCAGGCTTTTAAGCCTAATTGATCCGTAGTACATTTTCTTTAACAATCAGACAAATTTAAACACTGTGAGATTACGAAAACGCAAATAAATGGAAGAATTCGCTCTTGTAGTCTAATATCTGTAATGATTTTGTCCACCTTCATTAAAATCTTATTTCGAATCAAAATTGGAACAATATAAAACATCAGACCCCATCTTTCTACTTCCATCAGCAAATACTAAGCTGAAGGCTGTATCAAATCTAAGACAATTCTTAGCTTTCGTCCGTTGGAATTAGGTGGAAATATTCCAGAAGCAAAGCCCTGACTTTCTTGTCTACGGGTTAAAGCGTCAAGAGACCAATGGATAGGCATATAGGGAAATAGGCGCAAGGGAGTAGAATGTGAGTCTTGCATCAGAAATAGTTTAGAATACTATTGCAGAGCTCAAAGCAAGTGTTAAAGTACTCTTTCATTCAAAGTACATGAGAGATAAAAATGAACCTTGACGAGACATGGTGCTAAAATACCTTGTATCACCTCTGTGGTCTTGGTTATTACCGGAAGAGAAAAATACATCGAACCGCTAAAAGCAACTGATTTGCCAGAAAGTTCTGATCATCAAACACATGAGATTTTGGCCAGGAATCAAATTCCGTAGATATAAAAAAGGCAACTGTGTCCACCATAGATATGATCTACCTAGGACGTTGTCTCCATAGCTGCCTAGGTCAAATTACACTTCCTATAGTTTTTAATATTTAAACTGGACGAAATTAATATTCTATATTAATAAATTCCTTGGTTGTTCGAATGATGAACTACACCATACTGTTCATATTTCGACCTAAACTGGTAGAGCTTATCGCTATAGAAAGAACTCCCCCCCCCTTTACTGGCTGGTCTCTGATTTCTTTTCTTCCTAATGACATCCTCATTTAAGCCCAAGCGACTGTTTGCCCCCTCCCCCCCCCCCACTCTCCCTCTTCTCCCTATCGGATCACTTAATTTTTTCCCAAGTTTAAGCGCTATCACATGGAAGTGTACGAGGGTAGCAATGGCATTACTTGGTGAACCAGCATGCATAATATGCAAAAAAACGATAAATCTAAGTAAACTTGCAACTTCGTCACACTAATTCAAGAAGGGCTCATAAAAATGGCATAAAGGCAGACAAGAATAATTTGAACTTTTTTCCCGCAGTTAGTGACAATTTTCCCCTTCTAATTAAACATTTTTCTCCACCCGCGCACGCGCGCACACACACGAGGTATTCAAGGGAGCAAAAGTGAGTTAAGCCATAGCCAAGAAGTAAAGCCCCTTCCCATCAATTAGGATTAACTACAACAAATAACGCCTCCAATCCCCCTATTATATCCCTTTCCCTTCGCAGTTTGCAATTTGATTCAGGATCCAAGGGAGGAGGTAACGCCAATTTCCTAAGCGCCTGCCATCAAGACATTATCTTAAGAAAAAACTGTCAAATTAGCCCAGATTGACAATTCGGCACAATTCTAACCAAGGGAAATTTCGCTGGCATAACCCAATTTACATCACATAGAAATAAGGCATAACTCTAACAGGAGCAGCATGTATGGAGTTGGCCTTTCACAAGGCAGGAATCAGAAAGAGTTGGTGGAAGAAAAAATGTCACGAGAGGAAAGCATAGAGGAACCCTGTAAACACCAAGCCGACCCTATGATTTTTTAAAATGAAGAATTGAGATGACAAATGAAATCAACAGACTGCTAAAAAGGATGTTGATGAGACGTGCACACCCAACCATGCAAAGTAAGGAAGTAAATATATATAACTAAGCGAATCACTAGATATAATAAAAGGAAAAGATTGATAAATGCTTGAATATGTTCGCTAAGAGAGTTATTATTACTTTTATATCAAATGTCAGGCGTTTTGATACTTATCATTAGTCTTTTAGTTGACTTCAACATTCACAGAGGAGAAGGAACATCAAAGTGAAAAAAAGTCGAGAGGGAGGCGAGGGACAGAAGAGAGATTTACAGATGTAAAAGAGACAGACGCAATGCAGAGAAAAGGTAAGATGAGTACTGTGAAAGTAGTCGAATATGACATACAGTTGGGTGATGGTAGTTTGAAGTCAGAAGTCAACTGCCGGTTAATAGACTTTTTTGCCGTATGAGTATACGTTGCCCATGGTGCACCACGTGGAGGTAAGTCTATCGCACACCACAAGAGAGTTATTATAATGCGAGCGATACGTGTGTTAGGATTTCTTATCCACAAGCGTTTCTCACGAGTGCCCTAGGATGCCATTCATGTACGTAAGAAAAGAGTTGTGAACGCCATGCTTAATTAGCTCGAGAAGTCGACAATTTCTGTATTTAATACCTCAAGACCTCCAAATTCTGCGGTTCATTCAGTTTCTTTACGATTTTCCCTCGTTGTCCTTCAAATCCTATCTCCCAACGCCTTGTGAGAAGTTCAAGAATTTAATGATGAATTAAAAATTAGCTTATGAAAAGTTATTTTAACTTCCAACAGCTGAGGTCATAGTAGAATGAGAAAAGGAAAGCTTCAAATACTTTTTGAGTGTTCGTTGCACTAACAATTTCACACGTCCACTGCTCTAAAACACTTGAAACTTAAAGGAAAAGAGGTCGAGTGATTTTAATAACAGTTGTTGTTATCATTGGAAATAAAGGCAAGGAGAGCGAGAAAAGGAATGGGAATAAAAAAAGCGCAACTTATCAGAGCATCTGCGCACAGACGCTAACAGTCTCTCAAGGTCATGGGTTCAAAGAGAATGCAGTGATTGGTTAGGTGCATCGATTAGTCACACCACTGGATAGAAATAAAGAGATCGAAGCACTGGTATTTACTTTACTAAAATACAATTGGTTAATACATAAATACACAAACCACATAAGATTTATTAATGGATTTTTATATTAAACAATCCCTACATAATCAAACTTTAATCCGATTAAAAGGTGGGAGTAGTCACTTAACCCTTATTAAATTGGCACCAATCAACGTGCAAACAAATCTATGATCATCAAAGAACTCAAGAAAAGAAGTAAACAACTAGACTTCCAATAAGACGGCGATTGCAACGAGAAAAAATGAAATTAGGAGAGAACAAAGAAGGCCACTGATTGACAACCAGTCAATTTAAGTGGATAATGCCTTTACTCTACAAATAAAGCCTCCATTCTTCGTATCTTATTGGACGGTTTTTCTTTGTCTATGCTTATTATTATTACCCACAATAATAAAAAGAATTAAATCTTTCAGTTGTGGAAAGAAACACAAATCGGTTAACAAAGGGGAAGAAGTAGAGGGAGCATAAACAAGCATAGAGCGATGAAAAAGTAGCCAAAAGCCTTAATTCGTTTGATTTGAGATGCATGTTCGATATTTACGAACAGCGCAGCTCAGGTTCAAGAATTACTGAATCCACCACTAGGTTGAAACAAATGTTTGTCTACAACCTCAAATGTTCATTGGCCGATCAGGATGGTGGGTGTTGTAACTTCAATTCATAATACCTTAATGGCTGAGAAAATAAATGAACTTAGTTCTAACATAGGAAAGATGAGATAGATAAGGACTCAAGTTGGGAGAACTCCGCAAGCTGTGTTGACTCCATGTGAAATTAATGATTGTGTTAAAATGTTATTACGTGATTGCGGCCTTAGCAATTCCCCCTACCATATATATTGCGAAGTTAGAGTTTCATTACTCTCAGTCCTGGCCATAAATTGACAAAGAAATGGGAATTATTCCCCATCAATTTCCTTACTCCAATACTTGTTTACTACATTCGTTTTCGAGATGAGAAATGATAAGTGTGCATAAGAAAATCTGCTTTCCTGAGGGTTTTGCATTTTCTCTATTTTTTCTCCCTTGGAGAGAACGTGCCTTCCTGGCCGCTTAATAAATATCGGGGCCCTTTGGCAAATGCTGTTGTTCAGTGGGATATAAAATATGATTGTCCTCGAATTAACGAAAGAAAATAAATATTTAAGATGTGGGGTCGTGAAAAATACATCAAAGCCGGATTCCAAACAAATAATACACAAATAGTAATAGCACCACAAAAAATTTTGAAACTTGAACTAACGTAAAACTAATGTTTCGATTAATCACTTGAGCAGATTGCCGGAATATGGGAGGGCCGGATTAAGAAACACCAAAAAAAGGTGACAAACACAGAGCAATGCATTGCCTACTGCAACAGCGAACTTCAAACTTACGAGAAAGGAAAGAGACAAAGACTTGTGGAATATTCGAAGAGTGACCTCTGTTGACCCTCACTGCTTTAAAACCACGTTACTCCATATCTAAATGCTAGCAGGGCGTATATTGGAAGACATGCACTCGACAGTAATTCATCAGGTAAAAAGCCAGATTCAAAAATGTGGACATTGGGACAGTAGAATAGGAAGCATGTAAGCTGAATTCAACGATCAACTTTTGATAAATGGCTTCCTTTAAATCATATTAAATTGCTCTAGAAATCCTCTTTAAAGATACTATGATGGAACATTGTAATTATTTTGCTGTGGCGTGCACAAAGAAGGGAATAGAGAAAATTGCGGACCTGTACCCACTAAGTCGAGAAAGTGACTAAGGGTGAAAATATGTGGAGGTAGCCAGCCATGTTCACGACAAATGGGCTAATGCGATGTGTAGAAAAAAGCAGCTAATATTTGTTAAAAACAGGCTACAGTGATATAACAAGAGTAGAGAGTGATAAAATCTGAAACGAAACGAATATTTAGAGACGCATAAATTATTAGGAAATTGAGAGAAACTTTAACTATAACACTTCTAACACGTTTAGGAAACCATTTTCCAAAACAGATATGACAGAAATAAGCTATACCGAATTCGCCACCCGAGAGGCATGAATTATGTCAAATTCTTTACAAATAAGATGTAATCGAAGCGGCTAGAATCGATGTGCAGCTTAATCATCTTCTACAATGAATTCTGAGCATGAAAATAGAAATCAGTTAACCATGGAGATAATAATTAATCAAATTGCCTTTCAATACAACATTCCATTTGCTTCTAAGTGGGAGTAAAAGGACGACTCTGTTAAATAGCAAAGTCAAAGAGAAATGTGTAAAAGAATAATTAGAGCAAAAGCTCTTCAAGCGAGGAAATACTGACCAAAGTAAGACCATAAGAATTTGCATGATGGCCACCTAGACGTACGCCATTCGTGAGACTCCACTCCATTATATTCCAAGAGGAAATTATAGCAAAACAATAGTGCTATTAATGTGGCTAAGCAAATGGAATAAATCAACAGTAGATCAATAAATGGTAAGGAGGTGGGATCGGGATATTGAGAGCATGGTCATCAAAGTACCAAATAGTCCCCATTTAACTCTGATTACTCAATACTTGCCTAATAGGTAGTGCATAGATCGAATTTCATTATTTGTCATTGGAATTAATTGAGCCAATTCATAAAGACGATGGCAAGGGGTTAGTGATCCATTGCTCAATTACGATGATCCATGTTGGCACTAAATTCCTTTATTTAAAGATTGAGAAGCCATAATCACTTATCAATGTATTAAGTAGTTTGCATGACCTTAGCATAGCAGAACAGAAAGACAAACTATTAGCCTGTAATGTCATAGACAAATGATAACTGATGCAAGCACAATTATAAACGAACTCGTGAAACTTGAAATTTTCAGAAGCAAATAAAATAAAACGTAAAAAATGGATGAACGTTAAAATCTGTATTACCCTTTCAGCCATTTTACGACGCTTATCGAAATCCAAACTGGCAGCCTTTGACCGAGCTTCCATGAGTTTTGGAAAGAGTTCATTGAAGGCCTCATCGTCAAATTCCTCATTCTCGGATTCCTGCCCTTCCCCCTCATTTATATTTGAGCATAGTGAATCTGGCTCATCATGAGAAATGGTCTTTTGGGGCTCTTTTCGCGAATCTATAAAACAACGTTACTTAATTTAAAGTTAGTAGGCGTTTCAAATCTTTACTCGGTTAGATTACCTGTTAAGATCAAGCTTGACCATTCATGAGCAGTCATGGCGGATAATATTCTGTCAACACCAAATTCCTCATCTTAAATACGTCACTATCAGAGTATAATATTTTGCTAACCTTCTTCGATGTCATCAGGAGGTGGTGCGAGCTGGATAACTTCAAAGTGATTGGAAATAGCTAACTTGAAAATTTCAGTCCTGATTGAATTATCTGGAAGAGTTTCACAGACTAGCAATCTGACCGGGATTTTCTCATCTTTATCAATTTCCAGCCACTCATATGTTAGCTTTAAGCTCTCTGGCTGGGAAAATAGTTAAAATTAACAGTTAACGGATACCTTATCGGGATCGAAGCAAATTATAAAACATTCAGCATCACCAGTTGACGATATGGACTCCAAGGAACTGATTACCTTCAACTGAACAGAAGCGGTATAATACTTACAGTCTATATCTATAGAACTTTGATTTTTGCTAGTTTTTGTAAGGCCTAGAGAAAATCAAAACAAACACATTCGCACCTTTATAAACAGCTTCAACAACGTCATTAGCAGAAGCATCAATGATCAAAGCGAATGAAGACATTTGAGACTAAAATTATAAAAATTGCCAAATTATCGGGAAGTAAACTAAAATGTAATAGTATATGATGATACGCACATAAAATGAAAATCGCGATTATCAAAACATAAAACCGAACGGCTTAAAAACGTTTAAATAACATTGACATTACATTAATCTACTATTTAAATCAGAAGAAATGGGATTTCTGTTTACAGTAGTGTCGGACAAACTTTTCTATCGTTTGCGAGAATCGATTATGTATATCTGGGTTATATGAGTAAACTCAAGGCTGACAAATATAATTCTCATGTTGGACAATTTGATCTCTTCAATAAACGTATTACTTGAGTTATTAATGTTTTAAAAACTTAAATAAGTTGTTCTGTTAAATTTTAAAGCCATGATTATAGTAAATTTCAATCTCTGTTATCCTTTAACATTAGTAAAGATCCCTTTTATTTCTTTGCTTCCTTTATTTTAAAAATATAATGGGTTCTTTTGTACAATATTTATATTTGAACTTACTCGAGTATGTATAATTAGTTAAGAAATACTAGCTTTTTCGCAGGAAATACACAGGTCTGCTAATCACTCAACTAATTCTATAACTGGCTGCATTTATTCATTGAAGTAAAAATTGTAGGGATTGAGCGAATTAATGAAATTTTAAATGTGACTTCTAATTTATCTTCATGTAATAACCCCTCTGCTTTGATCAATCATGTTGATTGCATGTGTAGAGCACCCTGTCGATAACCAGAAAAGATGCTTTAGATTATTATCTAACACTGCATGAGAATAATCAGTATTATTTATTATTTATGGCCGAACTTTAGTGCCGCTACTTGATATATGGCTACTTACCATTACCAATCTCGAGGAACTTCTAATCGCACCACCTCCAAGTAAATTCTGTAAATTCTTTTAACGTGATTTCTTAATGCAAGGCATTTGAGATTATCGAGCAATGCTTTTACTCCTGCCGCTTATATCACTTTCTCAACAAATTATCTAGCAGTCCTAATACTATTTTAATCATCTTTAAGAGATAACATGATGGGGCCTTTCTGGCGAAAAATTTAATTCTTCGACTTAAAAGCCAGGCTTATTCAATGCAGTCCACCAAACGCCTCACTCCAATCTTTGAAATCACCGATAAACACATAAAAATATTAGCTATTTTTTATTAAAATGCCTGTTCTAAATTTTTGCATACAATTGCAATGAGCCGGACCTTATGATGAATCAATTCAGTGAATAAAAGGCACGGAAATCGTAAGAAAATTCAAATTCTGTTAACAATAAAGTCATTCTAGTGGCATTTCAAAAATGATTGTTTCCGTCAAATCAACTTATTCTCAAATTGGCATGATCTACACTCACTTATTAGGACAGTTTGATAAAATCTGGGAAGCGACGACTTCTTACACAGTAATTTATTAAATCAGGTGTGTCTTCATGGAACTTAAAGAAGGAATTAACATAATTTTCAGAAGTATGAAAAATTATTATATAATGATTTCCCATATTCTCCCCTTCTTTTATGTTTCTAGCTACGGAACCATTTTAAAAGTGTTATCAAGAACATTATCTGATATAGATCTGTCTAAAACAAGGAGTTCTTGCATAAAACAAATCAATTTTTCTACAATAAACTAAAATGCCTATAAAACTAAATCACAAGCCATAGCACATAGTATAGGTAAAGAAACAACCATCGAATTTTTCCATATCGTGGCAATCGTCAAGAATTATAAAAGATGAGGAGATTAAATACATTTTATTTGGTAGAAATAGAAATGGGCTATGCTTGAACTGTTGGTTTCAAATAAGTTTCATCAGTTAGCTCAGCTAAAGCATGATTATTAAGGACACAAGTGGCATCTTACATTAAGGAAAGGTTTTTAATATCTTATACATTCATAAAGCTGTCACAAGTATATCGAGTGGAACGTTTAATTATATAAGGATAAATGGGTTATTTTAAGTTCATCGAAACAGGTTCTACAGACAGCATCAGATTATTTTCCTTAAACCTCACGTTTTTATCTAGTAACGATGGTACTTTTCCTTTAATTTATTTACATCGTTTTCCTCTTTATTGTGCGCGAACAAAAAAGTTATATTTTTGTTATATTATTTCAATGACAATTTACATTTACTTTCCCATAACAAAAACCTCGTTTATATTATGACCCCTTTGTAATTAATTGCTTATTTTAATCCCAAAATGTTATCTCTAATGACTATGATTTACTCAAGACTGAAGCAATAACGCACATTATTCATAAATCCTGATTGTTTCTTGGGGACGATTTAATGGATAAACGTCTATCAAAAACTAATCGTAGTGGCAAAAGATCACCATGAAAATTGCTGTCAATTAGATTTGTAGTGCAATAAAATATGGAATCTATATTAAAATGAAGCAATACAGCAACTTTCACTGATTTTAATCCTAGGATGGCATCTAAAGAATCATAATTTTAGAATAGGTCAAGACGACTGGAAGGAATGAGGTCAAATAGAAGTTGTTTGTTAAATTTTGTTCAGACATCGTTGAGATTTCATCTTCTCCCAAGCGACTTATCGACCTTAATTGTGAATGCTTTGCATATGCTGCCTCATATAGCAGAGTGTCTGTTTAAGGTAGCAAAAGTCTAATTAGTATTAAATAATCAAAAATGAAATTTGATTGACGAAATAATAATTAATTTTAATTTTTGCATACCCATTGGAGTGAGAGTAGAATTACCTTATAATATATAGTCCAAAATGAAATAGTCAATAACTTGAATATATATTTTCTTGCTACAATTTCATTTTGGCACTGGTTTACTTTACCAGTTGTCGCGTATTCTACTGATGGCTAGGTGTATAAAGCGCAAGGCAACCAATAGAGTGAGTGAACTAATTTGTCCAATGGAATGCATGCATACTTTATTGATCTATTGTCGCCTTCTCCTAAAATGATCTTAAATAACCTTTTGATTATGATTGATGATTTTCATAAACGAGTCAAATAATCGATATGACCGATGGTATGATTTAAGTTGATGAAATAAAAGGATTCTGTGCGCTACTGTTAATTATTCATTAGTAGTCATTAAAAATATATTATGTAGTGGGCTCCTGGTATTTTAAGATTGAAACGGAGATTGCATGTAAGTAAGCTGAACATTTTCATTGCCCTTTTTAGTTTCTTCATGTTGATCACTCTATTCAATGTTTGCAAATAATAAATGAAGCGAATTTAGGCACTCAAATTGTGATCATTAATTTTTACCTTTGGGATCTACTAAGTTAAAATCAGGATTTCCGCATTTTATGGCCACTATAAGTAGCAAAACTCACTAGGCTAGCGATTTATTGGTTTTAAAGAATTTAATTACACCATAACAGAATCATAGCATTTTGTTTAAATTGGATTTCTACTTTCAACTTCAATTAGAGAAATTGGAGTTCGAAGCAAATTTAAAACGGAAATCAATATCAACAACATATTTCAATACTTGGCCTGAAAGCTAGATTCACTTAATCCCCCTCAAAAATCTCAATCAATACATTTTAATGGTCAGGAACGCCAATATTAGCTAAGTGATGAAAATGCCAAATTTACCCACTCCGTAGAATATATTTCACTGAAGACTGTTCTTGCAGTCCAAAAAATGCTTCATAAAAGAAGGTTGTTGTTAAATGAATTCTAGATAGGAAGTGTGAATAGTTAATACGCAGAGCTAAACAAATGAATACTTTCAATCTTGTAGCCTGCTAACTGCTATCCTGAGACTAAGCAATACGCGGTTTATTAATTCAACTTTGTGTCTGCAATAAATCCTCTCACTTTGATAAAGCAATTGAAAACTGCGCAAAGAAATGCCATCGAGCTTTTGTTTAGAGCACATAATTGACGTGAAATTTTAATTTGTTTAAAGAATGTCCTGGCTAAACCTCCAAGGGTGGTTTGTTAACAGTCGCTAATTGAAAAAAACGTGAATTCTGATTGGCTTACTATAGACTCAAACACCTATAAAATTGACGCAATGCGGGATGCATTTGGTTATTCAAAATGCCCGTCGACGGTAACTGTACGTAAGCTATTTCGACAGTTTGCTTACCTTTATGTATATTTTTATATTCCCCCAAATCGATCAGCTTAAAACGAAATACAAACGATTCAAAGATAGATATTGTGAATATCATAATTTCATTATGTTCAACAGCGTGTGACTATATTTAAAGTAAAATTTCACCAAGAAAACTTTAGTTACCTTTTTTTAAATATAAAAATTTTTGGTATTAATTTTGCCACTTAGTTTTTGATATCTATGTAAATTCGAAAAAGCCATTTAATAACATTCTTTTAATTTTAATTAATGTTCTTTTAAATAGTGAAAAAAGTGTTAAAAAATTTTTTTACTTTTTGAAGTGATATAAGTGACGTTGGTTCAGCAGTAAAGCATTAGTTAAAACAAAAGATCTGAACTCTAACTCAAAATAAGAAAGAATAAAAGAGGCCATAAAAATGGCCACTTTCATTCATGAATGGTGTTGGGTCCACTGGCAGGTACTTCGAAACGCCTTATGTTCTCATTCGAACTAACGTCAACTCTCTTATGAAGTGAAACAAAGTTTTTTTTAAATATTCATGGAAAGTAAATGCTACCATTTACTAACAGATTTATGACTCTGAATGAGGGATATTTTTCGCTAATCTTACTAGATATTTATCTCCAAAATTAAGTAGGTATAAACACCTAAAACTTTGCTCAGCAAATATAAGGCCTTATTTTCTAAAAGAGTAGATTTTATTTCTTCTCCAAATGTGACTTTTAATGACTTTCCAAAAATGAGTCTTTCTCATGAATTAGGACGCTCTATAAGAACCAAAATTTCAATTAATATATGCCCTTTCTGCTTTTGCCAAGTCTCCTTCACAAAATTTAAGCGAGTGATATTTTCAAAATAAAGCACATTTTTTCAACAATTGAGACGTAACTAGCCCTTTATAATAAGGCACA